CCAGGGCATGAAGCTTCCGTTCCACCACATCCCAAAGATGCTCTATTGGGTTGAGATCTGGTGACTGTGGGGGCCATTTTAGTACAGTGAACTCATTGTCATGTTCAAGAAATCAATTTGAAATGATTCGAGCTTTGTGACATGGTGCATTATCCTGCTGGAAGTAGCCATCAGAGGATGGGTACATGGTGGCCATAAAGGGATGGACGTGGTCAGAAACAATGCTCAGCTAGGCCGTGGCATTTAAACGATGCCCAATTGGCACTAAGGGGCCTAAAGTGTGCCAAGAAAACATCCCCCACACCATTACACCACCACCACCAGCCTGCACAGGGGTAACAAGGCATGATGGATCCATGTTCTCATTCTGTTTACGCCAAATTCTGACTCTACCATCTGAATGTCTCAACAGAAATCGAGACTCATCAGACCCTTTTCCCTTTTCACACCATTCTTTGTAAACCCTAGAAATGGTTGTGCGTGAAAATCCCAGTAACTGAGCAGATTGTGAAATACTCAGACCGGGCCGTCTGGCACCAACAACCATGCCACACTCAAAATTGCTTAAATGACCTTTCTTTCCCATTCTGACATTCAGTTTGGATTTCAGGAGATTGTCTTGACCAGGACCACACCCCTAAATGCATTGAAGCAACTGCCATGTGATTGGTTGATTAGATAATTGCATTAATGAGAAATTGAACAGGTGTTCCTAATAATCCTTTAGGTGAGTGTATATATATATTCAGTTGTAATCAAAATTATTTAACCCCCATTGCAAATCATGTATATTGGCAAAATTTACAGACTTTCAGATCTTTGCAATGAACAAATCAAACTGAGTAATTGAAATAGCTTAACACATGACTTCTGCAGTCTCAAAATTATTCAACCCCCTGAATAGAATCCCTCACAACAGCACAAATCTGCAAAACAGGTGTTGTCTCAAGCACACCTGATGCAACTAATCAAGGGCTTCATTAGTTGCACCAGGTTTACTTGAGCTAGAATACGTGAAATATCAAATGCAAGTTCAAAGTTAAAGGAACAGTGGTTACACTACCTGGATGGGCCAGAAAAAGGAAACTATCAATGGCTGCAAACCGATTTCTGACAAGGCAGGTTCAGAAAAACCCTTGCAAAATACCTGCAGCCAGATTTGGTGGCAACAGGCAGAGGCTTCAGCTTGCACAGTAAGGCACGTACTAAACGCATGCCAGAACTCCAAGACATACACCACTACTGACCCAAAAGCAAAGAAAAGTCGACTCCAATTTGCTCAAAATCAGATAAATAATCCACAGAAGTTTTGGGATTCTGTTCTATGGAGCGATGAAACAAAACTATAAACAAAAAGGAAATTTTCAGCCCTATGGATCAGCGTTATGTCTGGAGTAAGAAGAATGAAGCATGTTAAAAGAACACTATGTCTGTTAAGCATGGTTGGGCTCGGTGATGCTCTGGGGCTGCTTTGCATCCTCTGGCACTGGAAACCTGCAGCGTTTGGAAAGCAAGATGGATTCCTTGAAGTATCAAGAAATCCTAGGAGAAAACGTCATGCTGTCGATGAAGAAGCTGAAGCTTGGGCGTCATTGGACCTTCCAACAGGGCAATGATCCCAAGCATACCTCAGATTCCACCAAGTTTGGTTGCAGAAGAAGTCCTGGAAGATTCTGACCATCACAGTCAACTGACTTGAACCCTAGAAAATCTCTGGTGGGATTTGAAGAAGGCGGTTGCAGCACACAAACCCAAGAATTTTACTGAACTGGAGGCCATTGCTCATGAGGAATTCCTCAGAAACGCTGCCAGAAGCTGGTGTCTAGTTGTACATCTCGTTTGCAGCCGCTCATAACAGCTAAAGGGTGTTCTACTAAGTACTAAATATGCTTGCCATGAAGGGGTTGAATAATTTTGAGACTGCAGAATTCATTAAAAGTTGCATTTTCAGTTGAATTTGGGGAAACCACTTGAAACATTTGTTGTGTTGAGCTATTTCAATTACTTTTTTCATAAAAGGATTTGTTCATTACAAACAGCTGAAAGTCTGTATATTTTGCCAATAAACCTGATTTGCAAGGGGGGTTGAATAATTTCAATTCTAACTGTATATATATGTACTGGTATTTGAGTTACATTATGTCAAGTATATTTCTGTATAATGTGAAATACAAGTGGACTACTGTAATATAGCATTTACAGTAAGTATACAGTGTTATAGTATAGTGAACATTTTCTGATTACATACCTTTTCTACAACGTGATTGAGGACACAGTTGTTCTCCCAACATTTGGCTATATCTTTCGACCCACCACAGCAATTATTGAGAACACGGTCCACAAGTGGCCTAGCCTGGATGCCAGCCCGAACCCCGCCCACAACATTTTTTGGTCGGGAAGTTCGGTCTGGACTCGATCCATTGAGGAGTAATTATGATCAGTCAAAAAATGTTCGGGCCAATCAAATTGCCAGGGCGGGCTTTATACGATGATGGACAGATGATCTGCAGTGACGTAATCATCACGTTATCAAAGAGCGCTTGGTTTGAACTGGTTTCCCTCAGAGATGACTGCAGCTGGAGAATTGAGATGTATAGATTCCGCTATCGCGTCTGTCGTAGAAGAAATTGACAGGGCATTAATTTTAAAAGACGAAAAGAGAACTGCAATAAAGGCATTTGTCGATCGTCAAGATGTGTTTGCTGTCCTTCCTACAGGATTCGGCAAAAGTTTAATTTATCAGCTGGCTCCGATGGCCGCTAAGAATATGGGACACAATGAAAAGCCTGTTGTCATTGTGGTTTCTCCTTGGGTCGCACTCATGGAAGACCAAGTAAAAGAAGCAACCGAAATGGGCATCAGGGCGATGCAACTCATGTCAAAGCCATCGCTACATCAAAAAATGGTGACGCAACTGTACTCGCACACCATACCCATACTGGTAATCACTGTAGGCCTACCCCTTATGAGCGGTTTATTTTTTAAATATAAATAATTAGATGATGTTACTCAATTCAGTTTATTTGCCAGACTCATGTCCAAAACACCACGCAAGACAGAACAAATAAACAAGACAAAGTACAAGTACAAGAATTACTCATCATTTTGTATTTAAATCATCATTAAAACATAATTTTGGCTCCCGGTCTCTTTTCTCTGAAGACTCAAATGAACACGCTTCTTCATCCTGGTGTCTTTCGTCGTCTCTCCATTTATTAAAATCAGTCAAGTCGCGCTCCAACCCTGTTATAAAATTGAGACAGGTCAGACAAATGCGAGCAGATTTGTTGGCTTTACTGTCGAGATCTAATCCTAAACGAAGAACTTGTTCATATATACATTCACATTTTCTATTTCGTTCAAAAATGTTTTTCGAGTTTGCAAGTACTCTGCGAATCCTTAAATTCTTTTTGCAACACCGGCAAAGGTCGTTAACACTCATTTTTCTTTTAAATACTTTTTCGTGAGTGCGTGCAGTGCAGTTCAGTTCTGTTGATATGAGTCGCTCAACACACTCCACTTACTGCGTTGCTCTCATTGGTTGTAGGTCTATCTAATTGAGTGCAGAGTTTTTTTTTTCCTGGTTCGATTAAGACACGCCTCATAATCAAAGCCCTATGGAGCAGTATCAGACTCACATTCTGAATAGAATATGAGTATGACGAAGTCAGGCTACAAGTGGCCCTTATTTAATCAGAAACATGTCTTCAATTTTGTCATCTTCTTCCTCTTCCTCTGTTTTGCCTCCGTACCCTTCCACCACACATCCTTACTCCTCTTCTTCTTCCCGGCTGTTGACCCTGTTTGTTTCCTTGTTGTTCTTCCATTGTCAGAATTTGTAACACTGTGTTGTGCTCTGTCTATATATGCTTGGCAATGGCAAATGAAGCTTCATGAGATGCACCTCTGAGCTATCTTAGAGAACTGGAGAACTGGTTTAGAGATCATCTAGCCCTTTACATTTCCCTTCATTAGTGAAATAAAAAATTCACCTCCACAATTCAGGACACATTTACAAAAAAAGTCTAATAGAAATGTATAGAAAATGTAAAAAATAGTTTATGACAACTAGTTCAACCATTTTGCATTTAATGACTTATGCAAGGAACTAATATCTAGATGTTTTGAGGGTTAAGACTATTCAACAGGGAACCAGTATAATATATTTTGATCATCAACATGACATAAGCAATTGATAATGTAGGAAACAGCAGACAATTGTGCATAATCAATTGCATAAATGTACCAAAGCATTTGCTATTTAATCAGAATAATGAGAAATTGCTTTTATGATGTGCACAAGTAACTACATGATGTGGAGGTTGAACAAGTAGTGAATCTCAGTTATGATCTGAGAAATGCACCCAAGCGTCAGTATTGTATTGTTGACAAATGTTGGCACTTATGTTGGCAATAATGTTGACCAATGAAAAAACATTTTACAAAGTTTATAATTTTTTTGTCCAGAGAGACTTAAAAATTAGGAGAAAAATATAATTTACCATTAGTGGAAAATGTTAGCAATTACGCTTTTATTGAACGTTTTTATTTATTGACAAATCTGAGAAAAACAAGTTACATTTTTCCTTTTATGCTGCTTTTTTAACAGTCAGCTTTATTTTGAAAAAAAAAAAAACAATCAAAATGGTTCATTCAGTTTCACAGTTTTGTTAATTTTCTTAATTGTTAAAAAACCATAAACATACATACATACATACATATATAAAGGAAAAAAGGAAAAATTTTGTAATTTACTCACCCTCCTTTCGTTCATGCATGGAACATCTTTATCTTTAATCCATTAAACAAAAAACATGAATGTGCTCTATTTCAGTTCTTGTTTGACTTAAGTATTATTGGTTCTATTTGGTATAAATTGATCTAATTTAAAGCTGTCACCATATTTAAGAATGTTTGTGAAAAAGACCTCTAAATGTAATCAATTCTTAATGTAATCAATTTGTCAAATCATTAGTTTTTTATTCTGTTCACTTCCTTAGCTCAACCCTCTGGCCAGTCAGGCAGCGGTTGCCGCGGCAGCAGCGATGGGCTCAATTGCTGGGTCACAGGTGTTTGGGAATGCTCTCTCCAGTCTGCAGGGGGTCACTGGACAACTGGTCACCAATGCACAAGGACAGGTACGTGCATAAACAAACCGCACATTTAAAAGATTATGCCCACATGAAATGCACATGTAAGCTGAAGTGTTCCCCACGTTAATTATAGAACTATAAGACGAAGTACAAGTAGATATGGAGAAGTGTTCTGAAGTGGTGTGAACATGATATTCTTTATTAGTGTAATGTTACTCAGATACCTAAATCCACTCTTCAGTACTGACCTCCGTGCCCCGTCTTTAGCCATGTTAGAGCGAGCCAGAGAGGGGCGTTGTGTTTAGATTGGACAACAGTGTGGGAGTGCAGGGGATAAAATGCTGACCTTGTCATATTTACGGAGCCGGCTGCAGAATTGTTCCATCAGTATCCAGAGGCTTGAACGATGAGGCTTGTCAGACCAGGGCCCTATCTAATGAATCATCTTATCGCAGGTGCGCACCGCTCCCATATTAAAGGAAAGATTGTATAGCCAATGTGCCCTTTCACGCTACAAACAGCATTATTTACCTTAACCCTTGTCTCATTCCCCTCCTCGCATTGACACTTTCTCTTCTGTACGATGGAAAGCATTATTTGAGAAATTGCATGCTGGGGGCCACTTTATGTAGCCGACCCACTCTTATTGAAGGCTTTATGGGTGCTTTTAACAGTTTTGGCTGTAAATGTAATCCAAAAAAAATCTAATGGCGTTTTATATGTAAAAGGAACCATATGCACAGTGACGGCAGCACAATAATTCGGCTTATCAACTTTTAACGGGGAGGAGAAAATGGTCTCCATATCTTTTGTTGTTGACGTTAAAGGCAAATGATTGATTGATTTGTCAAATCAAACTCATCTATAACCTAGTACAAACAGGCCACATTAGGCAGGTGCATGTGGATATATACATTTAGTACACACAAATGTATATAATAAACATACACTACCACTCAAAAGATTGCGTTCAGTGCAATTTTTTTTATAATGTTACAAAAGATTTCTGTTGTAAAATATATCACGGTTTCCACAAAAATATTAATCGGCACAACTGTTTTCAACATTGAAAATAAGAAATAAGCACCAAATCAGCATAAGGATGATGTGACACTAAAGACTGGAGTAATGATGCTGAAAATTCAGCTTTGCATCAAAGGAATAAATTACTTTTTAAAAGATATTAAAATAGGAAACAGTTATTTTAAATTGCAATAATATTTGACAATATTACTGTTCCTTACTGTATTTTTATTCAAATACATGCAGCTTTGGTGAGCATAAGAGACGTCTTTCAATAACAACAAAAATCTTACCAACCATATACTGCATATAAAATGTATGTTATTTTATACATTTTTATTTAATTTTTATTATTATAAAACTTTTACATATTTATATATGTATGTATTCTTTAACTTTTTTTAATTATATGAGAACAATTTACAATAAGGTCTCATTTGTTAATATTAGTTGTTATTAGTTTTATTAGTTTAGATATTAGATATTAGTTTTTCTCCGAATTGCATGTTTATATGCCAATTTTTTTTTTATAACACGCGATTGGGAGATATAAAGTCAGAATTGCATGATATAAAGTCGCAATTGCGTGTTATAAAGTCAGAATTGTGAGACATAAACTCGCAAAAAAGTCAGAATTAATAAAACTTTTTAAAAATCAACACCCTACGTTTTAAAAGATAATTGCGATTTTTTTATCTCATAATTGCGAGTTGGAAATTCTGACTTTATAATTAGGCAATTGTGAGTTTATGTCTCACAATTTTTACTTTATAACACGCTATTCTGACCTTATATCTCGCAATTCTGAGAAAAAATATCCGAATTGTGAGATGGAAACTCGAAGATAAAAATTCAATTATCTTTTAAAATGTTTTATTCTGTGGCGGAAACAAGCAAGCTTACATAAGTTAACCAATGTTAACTAATGAAACCTTATTGTAAAGTGTTACCAATTATATTTATTTCCATTTTGGGACCATTGTTGGGTCACCACATCAAAATAAAAAAGGGTTAAGAACTATTGTGTTCAGGTATAACTTTTGATAAATATTCTGAAGATTAATGCACAGTTCTTGTCTGTATTTAAAAAATGATATTGTGTACGATAAATTGTCACTCATGTGAGAACACACCCAAGTGTGTGCATGTGTACGGTAGATGTTACCTAACAAACTGGTATGGCCTTGTCTATACTGAAAGTGCCTGCAGGGCTTGGCTGGACGTATTGGCATGGCGATGCCGTTGATGGGATGCGCTGTGTTTGTAGTGTCGTGGCGGCTGACACTGGCTGACATAATCAGGTCACTGAGACGGTCAAAGCCCAGGGCTACAGGCTCTGCTCTCGACCTTATTACTGAGGCACATTATTCAGTTTGAGCCTGCTAAAACACCCACCACCCTTCTGAGCCTCGTCCCCTGCCCTTCTTTTGCTTTTAACATTAAAATGATACTAATACAGGCCGCAGACGTGGCCAGGGGAACAGCAGATGCTGCCACAGACCCAAAACAAAAAAAAAAAAAAAAGAAGAAGAAAAAGGAAAAGGTTGGAGTAAAGGGACGAGGCAATGTGTTGTTTTAGACTGAAGCACTCTTTGTTCGGATAGGGTGTTGATTTAGCCCTTAGGCGGTAATGTTGGCCTGATAAAAGGTTTTTAACACAATTCTGGCCGTGTTGCTTTGAGCATAGTCTATAAGTAGCAGAGTTTTCCCTCAGCTGCCACACAGCTGAATATCGCCTCGTTTGGGTCTTAGAAAAGGATGTGCATTATGTTTGTGGAGGATTGAGCGTTAAAGGAATAGTAGTTTCAAACCTGTATGAATTTCTTTCTTCTGCTGAACACAAAGGAAGATATTTTGAAGAATGTCGGTAACCAGACAGTCAAAGAACCCCACTGACTTCCATAGTAGGGAAAATGCGCATATGCGACATCAGCTGTTTGATTACTGACATTCAAAATATCTTCATTTGTGTTCAGCAGAAGAAAGAAATTCATACAGGTTTGAAACAACTTGAGGGCGAGTAAATGATGACAGAATTTTCATTTTGAAATGAACTATTCCTTTAATGGTAACATTTGAAGAAGGAAATAAATAGTAAATGTTACTGTATCTTAGAATTAACACATATTCAAATAAGCATGTTTATTACTTGAATGTGACTTAGCCTGATATGTTTAACTGTACTATTTATAATTTGACAAATAATAGGTTTATGCCAAACGTCACATGAACAAACAGGTCTCATTGCATCCACTTGTATGGCAGTACGAACTGATGGCGTTATCTATGGACTTGTAAGGTAATCAGCTAACCTAGCTAGTTATTTGTATTGTTTGCATTCTGTTCATTTTAAATATCAAAATGTTAGAAAAAAAAAAAAAACGTTTAGATATCAATCTGCAAATGCGACGGACATCACATCAGCAGACATTACAGCAGTATTTGCTAAAACGGTCCTCTGCCATCCACTGTCAAGTCTAGTCATTCGTCTTTTAGAAGGAAAAGAAACATTTTTTTTTGTTGCTTAGGTTCAAATGAGTAGGAAGATCAAAGTTTTTCTCCACAATGACTTTAGCAGTCTCTTCTGGGCCTGACTGATAGCAGGGGCAAAATTCCCAGCTCTTTTAACACTGTTTGGCTTTAAACATCTCCCTCCTTTGAATTTTCAACTTGGTTACATCATCCTTGGTTTAAATCATTCTAATTGTATGTGGGTAAAGACTCCATTGGAAAATAGTGAAAGATAAACAAATAAATAAGTAAATAAATAACAGTGTGTCTATTTACATTAAGTGCAAATAGCCCTCCTTTTTGGCTAACTCCCTCAGGGGTACTTCTGGTTGGGACAGACAAATTTACGGAAGACACTAGATTTTCAACTGTAGCAATAGTGTTGGCGTTGGGGTAAGGCGCGTGGCAGAAAGTTTTGACGCAAATCGACCTACTCCCTTTTCCTACCACATTTCAGATCGGAGAGGCATTTATTTTCAAGAAAAATGAAGAAAATATTCAAAAAGTGGAAATAAAGTGTCTAACGTTTGTTTAATATTAATAATAAAGGGTTTATTGGTTAGGCGTTAGTAACTTTATTAGGGAGGACTTCATTGTCCCAGTAAGAGGGCATCCATTTAATAACTTAATAAATATAATTATTTACACTCTATATTATTATTGCATACCGTTTAATGTACAACAACACTGAGGTGCAAATAGTATCTGCCAATATTTATAAGTATAAATATCATCTAACTAATACACTTATTGCAAAGAAAATTTAAACTTAGCTATTTAAACTTAGTGTAAATAGAATCTAGTTATTTACACTTAAGTTGTGTCCCAAATGACGCACTATATGCTATGCACTTATACACTATGTACTTATGCACTATGTACTCAACCGTGTAGTGTATGAACTTAAATATATGAATAAACAAATAAATACTGTTTTTATTATAGTACTATAAATTTAAACTTAAACATTTATTAAACACTAATGAACAGTTTATACTTGTTGTGTATATCTTACTTTTAAAATGATAATTGTCATATAATTGGATTAATTATATTAATATGCAATATGAATAACATGGACACATGATATAGTGTTACTGTTTTAGCATAAACTGTCTTACCAATAAAGTCCTGAAGTCATGTTAACATTTTTCCATTGATCTTTAGATATCATTTTATCTAATAGAAAACAATTTCTTGTTATTGAACCATATTGCTAAGCAGTTGATAACTTTGACCAAGACTGTAGTGTTTGACCGCTTCTGATCTGTGTTTTTTGCTCAGTGACGGGTGTTAGAAGTTTGGAATTTTCTCTCAATATGTGTCCCCATCCTATTCCCCCTCCAAACAGCGGGCAGTAGGGCAGAAAATGGGCAGGGATATTGCCTGGCGGCCATGGCTAACGCTGAAGATTGGCCTGGCTGCAGGAAGAGATGACATTCCCTGGGAATCACTGCCAGTATAATCCTAATGAGTTCTGCTCAAAGAGGAGAAACAGAGAGAGGGGAGGG